TCAGAGATCTTACTGCTAAGTATATACCCCAAAGAGGTCAAAGACAGACAGGAAAGCCCAAATACCCCAAAATATCAGTAACAGCACTTTTTGTAGTAGCAATGCACAGAAAACAATAGGGATACCCATTGCTTGAGGAATGACAAAACAAACTGTTACAAACATATGCAATGGATATTATTGTACCATAAGTAACAATGAATATTAAGAATTCAGAGAATCATGGAAAGACTTATATGAAATGATTCAAATTGAAGTAAGTAAAACCAGGAAAATAATATATACTATAACTGTAACAGATGGAAATGTAAAGAAGGAAACAAAAAAAACCTTGAATATTATATAATTATAATGATAAGGATGGTCCCAAAAGGAGGTAAGAAAATGAACCTCCCTCCCCTCTCTTGCAGAGGTAGGGACCAGGGGTGTGGAGCATTGAGTACCTTTGATAAATGCATTGCTTAGTTTTACTAAACTACTTTTTTTCTTTTTATATTCTTTGCTACAAAGAGTCTTTCTCTCACTAGTAAGGAGAAAAGGGATATTCATGAAAATGAAAGTGATTTAAAAGCAAAATATAGCAATATATTACAATAAATACAGCAAAATATTATAGAAAATTATATTTAAAAAAAACATTTTAAATGTAATGGACATTCTGGTACTTGAACCCAGTTCTTTGAATTCCAACTGGATCTAGATGTCAAATTATACTTACTGATTTTGCCCTAGTAACTTCATTGTTTGAAGTTTGGCCAGCCTACCTGCCTGTGCTTAGCATTATCTAAAGCTTCATTTCAAGGGCTGGCCTCTGCCAACTTCAACTCTTGGCCCCAGAAGATGGGAACCAACCTTTTCCTTGGGAACTCACCATTTCCACCAATCCTGACCTCCCAACCCATAGACACACTTATACACATGCAAATGCACAAGCACACGCAGAAGGAACATTCAACATCACCTAATTAGTCAGTGAAAGGTCAGGATTCAAACTCAAATCTCTTGCCTTTAAACCAGGTGCTCTTTCTACCAAAGAGGAAATAAATATCTATCTTGATTACTTGTTGAACATGTAGGATCCCAAATTCCAAATTAATCAGCTTTATGCATTGCCTGCTTTGGTTAAAAAAAAGTAGTAATTCTAAAATTAAAACTCATTTTTTCTTAGGACAACTTAAAATTTTCATTTTTTCATTTATAATTTCTGCCCTGCAGGGGTGTGTAGTGGTATTGAAGAGTAGTCTGTATTTCATACTTATCCAAAAGGACACTGCCAAGGACTGCCTTAATCTATAATTAAAGAGGAAAACCTTTCCAAAATCATTCCCTTGATGATTGGTTTTTCTTCACTCTTCCCCAGCCTCTTTAGCAATCAAATTTCTTACAACATTTTAAGGATGTGCTTTATCTCCATCTAAATACTGCCTTTACTAAGCAGAGAGGGAGGCAGAGGGTTATGATTGGTTGCGTGATCGGTTTTGGTTGGGTATTTTGTCTTGTTTTTTAAGTAAATGACCAGTCATTTGAAATAACTTCTCATTTAAACACCTTCATATTTCATGAAAGAATAATGCTACTGTATTGCCTAAAATGGGTGAATTTGCAGCAGCCTCATTCTCTTACCTTCTCCTATGATTTAAATTGAACAATTTTCTATTTTTCACACAAAGAGCTGCAGGGCAGTTCCAAGTTTAAAAAAGGAGTGCTGTGGTACTAGGAAGGAACAATTAATCACTCAACAGAAGTTCAGCCAATCATTCAGTCCTTTTCATTTCACACAATCATTTAGCCCACTCCCAATCACACTAGGCTTCCTCCTCAGCCTACCCTTTATGATGGGTTACTTAAATGTTGCCTTAATATGCTAGCCTCCTTCTCTCATCCCCTTGACCTTCCTCAGTGTTTCTAATCCCCAACCATGGATCACTCTCAATATTTTTTTCTTTATCCCTGCTTGCAGGCCACAGGGCATGGATAATGAAAAAAAAATGGTAAATAGAAAATATCTGACCCACTACAACTTCAAGTTGTACAGCATCAGCTAGACCAGATGTGTCACTCCCAAGCACCACTAAACCACATTAAAATATTATTGGAAATCTTTAACAAAACAAATAAAAATGCAATAAAACCCTAGAAGACCATAAGCCAGTAGTATCAAACTCAAATAGAAATGGAGACCATTACATTAGGTCTCCTAATACATAAGGATCCCTACAAGCTGCATATTGACTTAGAAAACCACATGTTAACATTATTTATATATTTAATATATGCAAATATATTTATATCATGTATTATATAATTTATAATATAAAATTATATATCATGTATTATATATTATATATAAATCTATTTAAATATATTATAAATTAAATATATTATATATATAATTTTTATTTATTTTGTTAAATATTTCTCAATAACATTTTAATCTGGTTTGGCCTGCACTCATTGTAAGCACCTATGCATGTTTGATACCCCTGCTATAAATTCCAGGACCAGAGCTGTCTCTCCAGCTAACTAAACTGAAGGTCAAAATAGAGATAACTGACCTTCTAATTATTAATATCAAGCAAAGAACAAAACAGATATATATATATTCATCAGCTCAAGGGAGACAGCCAATCTGGGGTCAAAACAGATGGCAGAGGTCTTACAAAGGTTCCCATTTCCAAATACCATTGTGATGATTGCCTTAAGCCTTGGAATACTTCAGAGACTCCTAAATGAGATTTTATAATTACTTAAGAGTTTAACCCAACAATCTATACAGGGAAAAAAAACATGTGGATGAATAATGCCTTGTGTCTAGACTCTGTACTAGTACAAGTAGTTGTTGAGCTAGGCCATCAGTACATACTATCTTAGACCTTATAGGTAGAAGATAAACTGAGCCAGGAATTGAGTAAATGTATTTGTGAAATTTGTTAACACTTTCAATAAACCCACACTTCTCCTTAGGGGGAAAAATCTATTAACCACTATTCTTCTGGTCATGTTTTATGCCTCCAAGTCACATAAGACCATCTCCAAAGAATCAAATTGTTGATCACCTCAATGACAATAATGGGAATAAATAAGTTGTGTCTGGTTGCCAATAATAAATTATGTGCAAGTCATCGTCATCATCATCATCATCATCATCATCACTGGCATTCACATATTGTTTTAAGGTTTACAATGTGCTTTGTAAATATCCTCTCATTTTCCCTCACAACAACACTGTTGTAAGTACTCTTATTATCCCCATTTTATGGATAAGGGAACTGAGGCAGACACAAGTTAAGTGACTAGAGTACTAAGTCTGGAGTCAGAAAGACCGGAGTTCAAATCCAACCTCAGAAGCATAACCCTGGCAAGTCATTTAACCTTTGTCTGCCTCAGTTTCCTCAGCTGTAAGAATCACACACACAGCTGGTAAGTATCTAAGGCTGAATTAAACTCAGGACTTCCTAAGTCCAGCACTCTATCCACCACGCCACCTCATGATTAAAGAGGTGTATGACAGAAAGAGGGAGTGGGCCAGTCACATATTGAGGGAATGAGGGACAACATATGAAAGGCCTACATACTGAAATTGTATCTATCCATGAAGATACCTGAAAGTAGTACCCCAGAACACCGGGTATGCCCCTTTAGAGGATTTATAGGAGTACGTAGAGACAGGTCACATAGGATGAGAAAGCATGGATAGATTGCAATCTGCTCCATCAATCCGGTAGCTCGGTGGCACCATGGATATAATATTAAATTTAGAGTCAGGAACACCTGAGTTCAAATCCAGCCCCAGAAGTGTAACCCTGGGCAAGTCATTTGACCTCTGTTTGCCTCAGTTTCCTCAGTTAAAATAGAGATAATAATAAGCACTTATCTCACAGGGTTGTAGAGGATTAAATGAGATATTTGTAAAGCACTTAGCATGCACCTGGAACAGAGTAGGTGCTTAATAAATTGTTTATTTCCTTCTAGCTTCGTTGTGGGGGTTAGGGGGGAGGAGTACATGCCTATGTCAATGAGATCACACATATGCTGAAGTACTGACATACAACCAAACTGAAAAAACAATAAAGACTATAGATAAAACGAACATGGACTTGTTCGCTCATAACTAAGAGGCATTGTTTGAAGCCTCAAGCATGTGCCTGGCACATAGTAGGTGCTATATAAATACTTATTCCCTTCCTCCTTCCCTTCAAGATTCAAGATCAAATTTTAAGCCACTTCTTTAACCAACCAGTAAATCTTGGGAATTCATTACACTAAGGTGTAGTACAAACTGAAAACGCAAATAGATTCAAGAGGAGTATTCACAATCTATTTATTGGGGGAGACCAGAAAAGCTTGTGGCACACAATCTCATCCTTTGGAGGTTGACATAACGGATTACAATGTGCTCTCACTACATGTGGAAAGGCTAAGGGGGTGATGTGATAGCATGTGAAGGGAAGAAGGATGAGTTTTTTTTCAACATGAACCCAGAGGGCAGAACTAGGAGCCAAGGATAAAGATTGAACAGAAACAGGTTTAGGCTTCAACTGAGGAAAAAATTCCTAGCTATTAGAGCTGTCTAAAAGTGGAATGGACTACATCAGGAGGCTGTGAATCCTCTTTCTCTAGAGATCTTCAAGCAAAGATAAGATGACTATTTGTCAAGGATGTGGAGCGAAGATTTCTATTTATATGTGAGTTGGACCAGATGCTCCCTAACATCTCTTTCAGCACTTAGATTCTATAATTCTAGAGTGCCCTTTGGTGCCATTGTCAGAGACGATGATGAGCTGGATGGACCAGATCTGTCATGGCAAGGGAAATCCCAAGTGTACCATATTCTATTCACAGACGCTATCTTCCCCCATACTTGTAAAAAAATGAGTAAAATAAAATTACCAAGCCATCAAAACGTTTTTATTTCTTTGGGTTTTTTTTAAACCAACTTAGTCATCTTTCTTCAGGTAGTAAAAATGTGCAATTCTAGTTAAATTGAATTAGGGACAACTCTTACCTTGAAGATAATTGGATCCATTCCCACCAGACACCTCCATTTCCCTAAAATGAAAGGGATGTCAGAATTCCAGCCCCAAATATATTGGAAAAGGAGAAAAGCACATTTCTACGCCTCCTATCCCTAGCAGATGGACTAAAAGGCATTAGAATTATCATGCCCTGGATGATTTCCAAAGTAGAATACTACTATAAAATACTATAGAGGCAGTGTGGTACAATGGAAAGAGCACTGGATTTGGAATTAGAAAACCTGGGTTCAATTCCCACTTCTCTCACTACCTGTGTTTCTCTAAGCTAATCAATTTCACTCTCTTGGCCCCAGTTTCATCTGCAGAAGTTAGACTAGACGGCCCTAAGGTCTCTTCCAACTCTCAACCTATGATCCTAAGCATACTCAATGCTGCCCCTCTGGAAATATGGGTACACAGGGTCTCTTGTTTTATCCAGAAGATTTAGATATTATCCAAGCATTTCCTTCAAGGCTACAAGGGAGAGAGATTAAAAGTCAGAAAAAGAAGGAAATCTTTCTCCATGGAAAATCTTTATATTCTGTGACTTACAAAAGACAAGAGAACCCTTCTCAAAATTTAGTTTGAGATCTCAAGAGTGTACATTTATTTCCATTGCTGGAGGAGTTATGGATTAAAACAAATGGAATGAGAGTGATAAAAATACTATCTTCCTCTTTTTCCTGCCCAGCGATGTCAATTAGCAAAGGACTCTCCCTCCCCCACAGGTTTATGACAGTGATTCTTCTCCCATTAAGACATATAACCGAGTTTAATGTACCTTCAATTCAATGTAAGCAACCTTTGGGGAGAATAGTTCCATCATCAGAACCAGCACTGTGATGACCTTCCTCATTCACCTTGAGATCTGGCTTTGGCCACAGGAGGGTTCCCATTTCTCTGTGATAAGAAGGACAATACCCATTATAGCAGAATCACCTTTCACTAACTTAGGGTGAAATCTCTAATCAACCAAATAAAGGAAGACAGAGGAGGGAGCCAGAATCATTAAGGTATTCATCTTTGTAGGGAGAAAAGAGCATTTGATAGCTACTGTTTCACTGTCAGGTTGTTTGAATCAGGTCTTCCTGAATCTCCCTACAAATGTGTGACTTTTCAGCAAGGAAATGCAGCTTCGTTTTTCTAAATATTTGTGGTTATTTCATCTTTCTCCCCCAAAATCAATTGGGTTGGAAGTGAGAACTATAGGGTAAATGAATCACATATACTGAATATAGATCCACAGTGATTTTTTTTTCAAAAAGTTTGGAAAGAATTAAATCTCTCTTCCCCCACACTAATCATGTTTATGACCTAAAATGTCAATATATCAACTGTAGTCAGTTTTATTGTTAAACCAAGTATATCTCCTTCCCTTGATTTGGCACTGGAGGATAATACTCCATAACTACCTCATCCTAGAAGTGAAATATATTTTAGAGTTTCTGATCCAGAGTCTGTTCCCAGTTTAAATTAATTACAAACCCAGATCTTATCAGCCTTACTGCAGAACAATGTTCACCCATCAGGAATAAGATGAAAATTCTACATTAACTGTTCCATATGCATTTCTTAACATTAGACAAGATTAACTGACTGAACATTCATGGGATAAACATTAGTTAAGAGCCTATTGTGTACAAAGCATTACCCTAGGAACTGGAGGAGACACAAAGATCAGATAAGAATAGGACCTTGCTCTTGAGAAGCTCTCATTTCTAGTAGTGAGGACACAAATACCTACCCACAATTCTCAATATTACATGAGGGGTGCATTAGAGAGGTGCAAAACAAAGTAGCATGTGAATTCTGAATGGAAAGGATGTTATCAAAAGGTAGGATAACTGAACGCTTCATAAAGAAGTCAGCATCTCAGTTGGGCTTCAAAGGATGGATTTCCTTGACAGAGTGAAAAGGATATTCCAGGCATAGAGAATAATTTAAAAATGTACATAAATGTGAAATAAATGTTTTGGGAGCAAAGAGCACTCCAGCTTGGCTGGGATATAGAGTAGCAAAAGAGGAGTACCATGAGATGACTCTGGAAAGGTAGGTTGGTACCAGAGAATGGGGGCCTTGAATGTCAAGCAAACTTTGATAGGCAATGGGAAGCCAAAGAAAACTTATTTTTTTTTTGTTGGCAAAAGAACATCACAACCTATTCCATGCATGAGAAAGATAAATTTGGCTACAACATGAAGGATGGATTGAAGGAGATGTAAAATTGAGACAAGAAAACTTGTTTAGAGTCAGAAGATGAATATTTCAATCCTAGCTCTAAATTCATTGTATTGCACTAGACTACTCTCAATGTTTCTGAGTCTCACTTTCCTCCTTTGTTAAATGGGGATAATCCATCACAAGGTTATTTTGAAAGAAATGCTGAATAAAAAATAGTGTTATATAAACATGACCTATTACTTTTATCCATGTATAATCCTTCATTTCCATCAATTATACAGAAATTGGGTTACTATCTAGGTAGAAAACCAATTCTGAGGGGTGGTATTTTCTCGTATGTGTAGCCATCTGTGAAAACAGGCAGCCTCCCAATCCCACTATGATTCCTAGATGTCACTGAGAGAGCAGGTTAGAGGGAAACTGGACTCACCTGTAGGCACTACTTGCCCACATCCAAACTACGGAACTCTGGAACATGGTGAGGAAAGAGGGCCTTGATCTTTTCATCCTCAGCTTCTAAAAAATAAATTGTATTCTACTTTTTCCAATTACATGTAAAGACAATTTTTAACTTTTTTTTTTAATTTTGAGTTCCAAATTTTCTCCCTCCCTTCCTCCCTCACCTCCCTCCTCCCTAAAATGATGAGCCATTAGATATAGGTTATATATATATGCATTCATGTGAAACATTCCCATATTAGTCATGTTGTAAAAGAAGAAACAGACCAAAACAAGACACAAAAAATAAAGTGAAAATAGTATGTTTCAATCTGTATTCAGACCCCATCAATTCTTTTTCTCTGGATGTGGATAGCATTTTCCATCATGAATCCTTTGGAATTGTCTTGGATCTTTGTATTGCTGAGAATAGCTAAGTCATTCATAATTGATCATTACACAATGTTGCTGTTGCTGTGTACAATGTTCTCCTGGTTCTGCTCGCTTAACTTTGTATCAGTTCATGTAAATCTTTCTAGATTTTTTCTGAAATCCATCTGCTCATCATTTCTTATAGCGTAATATTATTCTATTATATTCATATATTACAATTTGTTCAACAATTTCTCAGTTGATGGGCATCCCCTCAGTTTCCAATTCTTAGCCACCACAAAAAGTTTAGCTCTTATTCTAGTTCAATTCAACAACCAATTCTTTCTCAATGACATCTTACCAATCACACGCAGGTGTCTAAATATGGGCCTTGAAAGATTTCCTTTTAGTTGCAAGAAAAAAAAAATACTAGAACAAGACATCTAGATATATTGCAAACTCCTTATGGAAATGCATTATGGAGTTAGAGTATAAAAATGCCAACAAAGAAAAATAGAGTACCCCTAGTGCTTCAGGGATAACACCGCTGAGTATTTTCACCCCATCTCCCATTTTCCAATGCTTGGTGTCCTCTTACACTACTTACTCCCTCTCCTTTCTCTCTATTCATGATGGCTTTGTCCCAAATCTAGCCTTCATTACTATTAGAATATCTCCTAAGGCTTACCACCCTTACTCTTTCACCTCTCCAAATCATCCTTAACACTGCTATGTTATCTGCCTTATTTATGCATCAATCTGATTATATTACTCATTCATCTAAAACCTTCAGTGACTCACTAATATCTCCTGAGAAAGGTAAAAACTCCTTGCCTGGTATTCAAGGCCCTACACAATCTAGCACCACACTACCTCTCCTGTCTTATATTACTGCCTTTCATGTACTTATTATGCTCCAGACAAACAGGACTTCCCAATTCCTATCTCTTTTTTTTGAAAGCTATATGTTGAATTTATTACATACTTAAAATTAAAAGCAGGCTATACATTATACATTTAAAGTTCCATGTACAATACTCTCTTTCTATTCTATGTATATTAAAATGCTCATTTTATTTGGCATTTTTTAAGTATAGAATTTTTTTAAAAGAATATGGAAGTAAATAAGAGTCAGAAGAATACTCTTTTGAAATCATCAATAACTCCTAGGCCCCAGACGTATTCTGTGATGGAGAGTCAAGACTCTGCCCTTGCCCTCATGTAGAACAGATGACTCACATCCTGTGTTCAGAGACAGGGAAATTGGAAACCCATCTAAGCTCAGGGTCTGTGATTGCCAGCCTCAGATCTCAGGTAAGAACCCACAGTTCATAATGCTAAATCCTTGTGAGGGCTGGAGGAATAGAGAATGGGATCCTCCATTCAGAGTTCCAGATTTCTCTATTTTTACTCAACATGTTACTGTGGATAAAAGAGCTGATCTCAAGGTAATGATGACTTGAGCTCAAGTGCTGGCTCTGACATATGCTGGCTGTGTGACCCAGCCAAGTTGCTCAGTCTCTCTGTGACCCAGACAAATCTCTAAGACTGCAAGTTACAGAATGGTTGCCAGTCTACCTTGGTAGAGGGTGTTCCCTTATACAGGTATTCCTCACACTGATAAAGTCAAAGAAAAGAATCAAAAACACTATTTGCTTAAGCTACTCCTATGCTTGGAATTTTTTCCCTTCTGCCCCCACATCCATATCAGTCCCAATTGGAGTGCCACTTTTAGCAGGAAGTCTTCTGATAAAGGAAGTATCAGATAATGACTACTTCCCAAGTGGATCCAAATATTTTCCCTTCAGAAATCACATACTCTGCTTATACTTCTATGGAGCACCAATGATTTATTTGGTACCTTAGTTATTTGTGCTTGTCATAGACAGGAATATATTTGACCATTTCCTGTGTAATTTTGTATCTCTCTCGCTGTCTAGCACAGTGCCTTACACACAGTAGGCACTCAATTCAACAAACTTATTAAATTTAAGCAAATGACAAGCATATTTGTTGAACTGTTTTTAAAATACTGTAAAGAATAAAATAAAAACTTAACAAATCTAAGTGCCTACTATGTGCAAGGCATTTATTAGGTGCTTAATAAACTTTAAGTTTAATTGAATGATGTAATCTTCTGAAACATATATATCATAACTTATCAACACAAAGGAAAACTCAGTTTCATAATGGACACTCTACTTATTTCTAATGGTAATTAATACTATGATGGACTCGAAGTGCAGAGGATAATTCACGAACTAGACTTGAAGTGGTGTCTTGGGGATTTTTTGGCACAAAGAATAGATCCATACTACCTCAATCCATCATGGCCTAGGAATAATATGTCATGGGATTGCCAACAAGCCTTACATAATTTAGAAGCACTAGGATGATAAAAGTCTCTTGGGTTATGTCAGAAGAATTAAGTAAAACTTTATTTTATATCATGACATATTTTTTTTTCCTTTTGAATATGACAAGGTAGGTGACCAACTTATCAAATCTTAAATGATCATTAAAAAAAAGTTTACACAGCTAAAAATGTTTTATACAAATTCTCCCCATAAGAATCAGCCATTCTAGGTTTTTGTTTTGATTATTTTGTTTTTTCAGACTGATCCTCCTTTCTTGCCAGGGCTGAAAGTGTAGTAGCCACTCACTGATTTGGCTTGATTCCATGATTCCACTGCTGATCAACATGGGAAGCTTTAACCAGCATTATTTTTACCTGAGCTGGTTCATCCCCCCCTTAGGCAGCCTGGCAGCTCCCACCTTCCTTCTGTTCCCACTCCCCACTCTTGGAGAGTCAGCATACTAGTGGTAGACAGTGCAGAGACACAATCAACTTTAATCCTAATATGGCTCAGAACACCTGAGCTCAAGAAATCCACCAGCTTTCACCCACCTCATAGTAGGGATTCTAAGCACTCCCCATAGCTAGCTGTCATTTCTGGTCTACAGAATAGAGGTAGAAGAGCCAGAGACCCTGGGTTTGCTGTTATTATAGTAATCCATAGATATCCAGTCATGGCCCCATTGAAACTCATTGATACCTTAAACTCTGAGATCACTTGCCTTCCTCTTTTCCTTATGTCTATGGACATTATCTTTTCCCTTCCAGGTGGGTTATATAGCTCAGAAAATGCTAATTCAGAAAATAGTGCCAGAAATGGAAGGGGAAAAAGAGGAAGGGAGAGAAGAAAGGAAAAGAAAGGAAGAAAGAAAAGAAAGAAGTCTAAAGAAATGTCAGAACCAACATTTCTAAATTTCTGTTACTTACCTTTCCTGTTTATGTTTTAGTTTCATTCATGTAGATATCAAAGAAAGAAGAAAAGGATCTATATGAACAAAGATATTTGTAAGTGCTCTTTTTCTAATGACAAAAGGACTAAAAACTAAGAATATACTCACTGATTAGAAAGTGGCTGAACAAATAAGCTATATTAGTATAATAAAATATTATTCTACCATAAGAAAGAATGGTTTTAGAGAAACATGGAAAAACTTAGGGGAACTAATCGATAGTAAAATGAATAAACTCAGGGAAACAATTTATACAATAACAATACTATCAAGATAGAGAGAAAGTCCATAGTCACTGTTGACTATGTTGAGACATACCTGGCAGTGATGGGCATGGATCAAGTGTACCAGTCTCTAGCAGAGAGCACACATGCAATGGACCAGCATCCAGAGACAACACATCAAGGGGAAAAGACTCCACATCCATTAGAGGAGTATACCATAGAATACAGAGTATCATCCCCAGGATACCTGCAAAGACTAGTAGGAAGTAGGTCCAATGGGAACATCATTATAACATCACCAGGAGACATAAGTAGTCCTGCAGTATCTAAGGTGGGAGTTCCCTCTACATATTGTCCCATATGACTTTTCATTTCATCAACCAGTATCTTATTTTGACTCTTGTGACCCATTCAACATTATATGGAGCTACTGAAGAAGGAATTTTTATCTATAGAAAATAAGCTGAGTGATGTGTCAAGGAAGTGTTAATATCAATATTATATACCAAAAATACAAGTGTAACTCCCTCTTGTAGAGATTTTTCCTAGGTAGAAGGAAGTTTTATATTAAGTATGGTTTGTTATACTACTTTTTATTGAATTAATAGTTAATAATCACTATCTCCCAGCATAACTGTGATGATAAAATGCAATAATAGTTATAAATTTCTTAGCACAGTGTCTGGCATAGTATAGGCACTTAATCAATGTTTGTTCTCTTCCTCTTCTGTACTTTTTGCATTTTTTTTCTTACTTCTTCCAAAAGCTTTTGTCTCTTCCCCTCCCTAAGTATAAGTTAACAATAGTTTCTGTAAAAGTCACTCTCCATGTATTTATTAGGATCCAAATTAAACAGACTGGTCCTCCTGAGATAACTGCTATATTTCAATGTCAATGAATGTACATCATCTTTAGGTTAATTATTAGAACCAATCCATCAAAGGTTTCCCCGTAGAAAAAAAAAAGTAATTAAGTCTTAGGCTGCCAAGAGTCTTAAATATGTTCCGATACCAAATTGCCCATTATGGAAAAGGCTGCCCACCAGCTAGGATCATGTGGCTTGATTAATTAGCCCTCAAAAAAGGCCACCCATGGACAGGTGCCACTTGACCAGTTAGTGAGCAGTGGCCTCACTGATAAATACTGGTGATGTCAGAAGTGATGCTTTCTCACCATGTGATCAGGGCGATCCAGCTTCAAATCTCATTACTCATTACTGACAAAGAATTAGTTTTCAATGATCACAATGGATATTGATACTGGTATCAGCACGAACAAACCTGGTTCAGGACTGGGGGAAAAAACTCTATAGACCTGTGTGTGTGTGCATGCATGCACACACGCATATGTACATGTGTGCGTGTGTGTGTCAAGAGTGTACCCTTTGTCTGAAAGTTACTGAGAAGGGCAAGAACAGCATCGACGTTGCTAGCATCCCCTATCAATCTGAGAGCCAGCTGATTGTAATTCATCTCTTTTAGTCGTGTCCTTGAAGAGATCTCACTAGGATATACATGAGTTGTACACTTTTTAGAAGAGAAGAGATAAGGCTTAACACACAATTATTCATGTAAGAGAATATTGATAAATATTGGGGAATAGGCAGGAGTGCCTGATCACTCCTTCAACCCATGGAATTAGCCCCCCAAAACCTAATATGTATGTGTGTGTGTGTGTGTGTGTGTGTGTGTGTGAACCATTTTTATACCCCTAATGTGTGTCTTGGCCACACGTTTCCTATGTGTGTAGTTTACCTCCACACATGTTCTCTACACATATTCATTCTATCCCCTGATAACTTATGTTTTTGTAGAGAGCCAGCCACAGGTTCATAGGGGAAATGTTTTACTACTACATAATCCTTCATTAAAAGTCTTTGCTATAAACTAATTGCGTTGTCCGACGGAGCTTGTCATTAAAGTTAAGCACTTTAGTTGATGCTCATAATAAAATAATTCTTCATAATCATAATAACTAATACCGAGCATATACATATATAGCACTTTAAGTTTTACAAAGTGATTTGTAAATATTATTTTATTTGATCCTTACAATAATCTTGATAAATAAGTGCTCTTATTATCCCCATTATAGTTGAGGAAACTGAGGCTGAGGGAAGATTTGCCCAGCTAATGAGTGTCCAAGGCCAGATCTGAACTCAAGTCATCCTGACTCCAGGTCCGGCGCTCTATCCACTGCACCACCTAGTAGCCAAAAGAAACTAGATGTATAAAATCCAGGAAAGAAATAATTATGTTTTAGGGATGAAGGTATGAACTAAGATGATTACAAGAGACTTCATACAAGAAAAATTGGAGTTGGGGGGAAGGAAGAGAAAGGGAGGAGTCGGGCCATAAATGAAGGCTGATTTTTTTTTAAAGAAACAGATGAGAATATATATACACCAAGTAAGTGTCGCACCCTTCAAAGTAGTCAGCAAGGGAGGCTCTACAACTAATCCATCTCTCAAAACATGTGAAAACTCTTTTTTAGAGCTGCCTTTGGAGATAGTTTAAGAACCATGCAAGCAAAACAGTTTCATTACTTTAAAGTCATGCCTGGTTTTAGCCAATAACAATACCCAAGCCTCCTCCCAACTCAGTCATCCATTCACTGGACTTTGATAGTAGAAATTTTGGACTAGTTCCAAAAATCAAATACTCCCCTAAATGATGAAGATTTTCTACCACTGAGAAGAGTCAAAGGAAAGGGCTATGAGCTCACTTGCGATCCAGACTATTGATTTTTCCCTTTTCAATCAGTTGTAAATGCAAGTAGCATTAGTGACCAAGGAGGAACATGCACATTTTAGAAACAATGATTTAAAAAAAAAAACTTCAAATATGTGAATGTTCTTTGCCATCTTCCTACACACACACACACACACACACACACACACACACACACACACACACACACACACTTCTTCTGAGGTTTAAAAAGAACAGACCCATACTTTTACTAGTCAGTTTTGAGAAATAAAGATTGTTCCCCAAGTCTAGAACATTTTATTCTCTGACTTATTCAGGGAGTCTCACCCCAGTACAGTTTTACTGTCCTCAAAAAATGACCCTAAAGCCTCATCCTGGATAGCCATTGAGCCATAGTTTTCTCTTAGAATCATAGAAATTTCAGATTTGGAGGAGCCCTCAGAGGTCATCCCTTTTCTGAGCAGGAAACTCTTCTAATGGCATTCCCAGCAAGTTGTTGTCTACCTTTCTTTTGAAGACCTATAGAGATGGGAACCTCACTGCTTCCTAAGGCAGCCCATTCCAATTCTGAACAGCTCTAAGTGTTAAGAAATATTTCCCCACTCACTTAACTTCTCCAGTGGATGTATGATCTGTCTCATCAGTATGCATAGGCCTTGAAAAGGTTGGTCAATAAACACTGAGAGCCTACTTGGTGCTAGGCACTGTCCTAAACACTTGTGCAGACAACATTCCATTAACCACCCATCCCACACTTCTATTGCCTTCCATCTGAGATTATCTTCCATTTAACTTGTATATATCTTATTCGTACATAGTTGTTTACATGTTGTCTTCCCCATTAGTATGTGAGCTCCTTGTAGGCAGGGACCATGTTTTTGTCTTTTTTTTTTTTTTTGGTATTCCCAGAGCTAAGCACAGTTATCTGGAACATTGAGTTTGAAAAATGTTTATTGACTTATTTTTCATTCTGTGCAAATCTTTTTTCGTGACATTTTCCCTAAATGTACCTCTACCACCTTTCTGCTCTTAAGTTCCATACAGTACTATGACTCTAATTCTTAATATCTAAAAAGAACTTGATTTGCTGGCCACGGTTAATATAGTAAATCCAAGTGTATTTCTTTCAAACTATAATCTATATTAATTCATTCTGCTTAGCCCCAGGGAGCCAATCTAAGGACTAATGGATAGAAGTTTCAGGGTAACAGATTTCAGCTCCATATAAGAAAGAATTCCTTAATATTTTGAGCTGTCCAACCACTACCCAACTAGGCAACAACTTCCTAATCAATCTCCTTTTGTCAAGCCCTTCCTCCTTGGAATCCTTCCTCCACACAGCTGCCAAAGTGATAAAGCATAGGTCATTGCAAGCTATACCCCTTCTGAAGATGATTTAATAGCTCCCCAATGCTCCTAGGATAAAATAATTATCCCTTTGTGTGGCATTTAAAATTATTCACAACCTGCTTCCAACCCATTTCTTAGGCTGTTCACCTAATCACATACCCTAGATTTCAGCCAAACTGACCTAGTTGTTCACAACATTCCACCTCCAGCCTCCATGCCCTTCTAT